CTTTCTAAGGAGACACGAAAGGAGCCAACAAATCCGAAATTGGAGAAAGCTGAGGATGAAGAACCCGCTGAACAACTCCCAAATGATCAAAATGGTATTTGAGCCTGAGGGTAGTCTTATTTGTTTCTCAAATCTCATTTACAAGCAAGCAAAAAAAAATTCAACCGAGTGGACACATTTCAGTATGGAGGAACAACAGTACAAATTTACAAGTTTTATCTTTGTGATCATGTTGTGTAATTCGCTTTGCCTACAAACTGATCTCACGACTGACATTTACTAATCTCTTAAATTTACATGTTCCACTCAGGACTATACAAAGAAGCCGAAGAGGAACCTGAAAAAGAGCAAGAGGAGGTCCATAAACATAATCACTCATGTCTAGAACATACTGAGCCCCAAGATACATGTAAATGGAAGCTGAACACGAAACACAAAGAGCCTGCCAGGCCAGAACAGCCGGAAACTGAGCCTACCGACTCTATCGACAAGATAGCAGCAATGAAGACGGAGACTAAAGATCATAAACAGTCCCAGAAAGACGTTGCAGCAAATTCTGAATATGAAGAGTTTCAAACAGATTTTCAAGGGGATCAGGACCAATCTACTGATGAAGGTGAGGCTTAGGTTCCTTAAAAAAATGAAATTTGTTTACGCTATCATTCACTCCAAATCTAGGTATTCAAATCTATTTATGCGCTCCCTTATTCATAAGGACACTAATACGGCTTATTCATAAGCCATTAATCATATTCAGTTACTTAACAACATACCATTATAAGCTGGATGTGATGATTCATATTCATTCGTTCATTCTGATTTGTTGTAAAGTAACGATTAACGATAAGTTTTGTAGAAGCTTATGCAAACGTGTAGGGGGAAGGAATCACAATACTAAACGTTAGAGCTGTCATTCATATTACTAAATGTGCCCTGAATTATCACCGGGGAGAAAATCGTTAGTGCTCCTTTATGAGGATTCGTGAAGATCCAAAACGATATGAGAAATGGATAGCAATTGCATATGAAATAGTCATAGTAAGATATAGGATATTGTCATCAGGGTAATGCTCAGCATTCCTTTGAGGGCCTAATCTCATTGTATCCTCACTTTATCTTTTTTTTTGCTGAGTTCTCTCCTCCTCTTGTATGCCTCAGAAAAACCAGAACTGAAGATTAACATATTCGCTCCAAATGGAAAAAAAAATAAAAAGACAATTGGAGCATCCTCTTGAAAACAAAATACCTCCTATTGATAAACTTTTGGGAAAAGCTAGGCCTTTTTTAATACGAAGTAGACAGAAGCAACCAATTCATCTTAAACATGCCAGTGGAAAGCTGATTAGAAGAAAAATCATGCGGCACTTTTGAGTAACATCAGTGAGATAAGTTTCTTCCAGGGGAGGTTCATTTATGAAAGTTAACAGGAAACTATGTAAAAAAAAACCATACTGTAACTAAACAAAGCTTTATATTCAGTTCAGCGACATCTCTCTGGGAGGATGCATGATTCATCAGATTGTGAATCACTTTTAAAATCATCATCATCATTTATTATTATTACATAAAAACATACATTTAAAGTCGGACCGGCCCGCATATAGCTATGCTAGTCTGAGCGGGCCAGCCCATCAATAGCTACAGTCCATCATTAGCTTATTACTATTAATATTAATAAAATAAAAAGAAAAGAAAAGAAGGAAAAGAATGTGATTGAATAGAAAATATTTTGCTTGTTTGTTTGTTTCTCTCTCTTCCCTTCCCCCTACTACTACCGTACTACTGACATTTTAATTTAGCTTAGAGATGATTTTGCGAACCTCAATGAAAGAGTCTTCATCGTCGAGTATACTTAAGTGAAGTTTGTTTTTAATTCTGAGTTTGAAGGACTTCTTTGGTAGCCCTCTCAGAGAGTTAGGTATTTCATTCCATAGTTTAGCACCAATCCTTGAAAAGGCGTTTTTCTGTATTTCAAGTCTTGAAGTATTTATGTAAAAATTATCTGAAGTAGATGAGCGTGTGTTATAAGAATAGTACTTGACGTTTTCGTAAATAAATTACGTATATTAATTGGGGCAGAAGCATTGCTAACGTCGTGCATCAACTCAGATAAAGTTTTGTAGTACAAAACCTTCAGAGGTAAAATCTTAGCATTAATAAACAATGGAATGGTATGTTCATTTTTCTTTGCGAAGTACATGAAACGTATTGCGTGTTTTAGTAACATTAAGATATTATTTAGGTAAGACTTACAGGCCTGGAGTTCGTTTCTCGAAAGTGCCGGTACCTTAACTGGCCTGAAGCCATGTTTTAAAATCAAAATTTAAAGGGTAGGAAAGCAGGTTCTGGCAACCAAACCAGTCCTTTTTGTTTCTTTAGCGAATAGCTCTATTGTGTCATTTTCAAAACTTTTGAAATCCCCATCTTGAATATTAACAAAACAGCTTTACGGGTCCGTTAAGTTACAAGGACTTTGGAGAAACGGGGCTCTGGCCTTAGACAGATAATCCGTAAGTAATATAAGGAGAGATTTAAGACTGATTCAACCTCCAGTAGGACAAATGAGAAACAAATTTACAATGGACTTGGACGTATGGGTGAAAAACGCATACATAAACTATCCAACTCCTATTACATATTACATTTTCTTGTATTCTTTTCAAACAGTATTTTCACAATATGAATTTGCATTAAGTGTTCACTTAGTGTTGGTCGTTGGGTTCAATGTTCATTTCGCATCACCAAGGATAATGAAATCAATTGTCCAAAATGTGTACCATTGTTTTGGAGTACTAAAGTAAGGGCTTCCACTACGCATGTAGGAAGGACTTTTTCTAAAACCGAGAAAAGCTGTCACAACTTTAGGGAGAAGTATAGGAGGAAAAGGAGACAGTTTTGAGCAGTTTGTTACGTGGGGAGATCTATAGATATGATAAACATGGAACATAGCGAAGTGGATTGAATTTCCGGATAGCTTTTCTGCTCGTCATTGGAGCAAAGTAAAGTAAGCTTATCAATTACGCCAGAAAAAGGGAAAATACAAGTTCTCTCAGTACGACCTCATACGTCCCAGGGAATTCAGTCATTTTTTCCAAAGTCCTGATAATTTTGATAACTTTCTGCCACCTTTGAGCCAATTCGGTGGTTTGAACGCCATCGCATCTTCCCTGAATACATGTACACATACGCCTGACTTACACTTGAAATGAAGTAGTTCTTCGTTTTGCAATTGCTGACAGAAACTAAAATTTTGATGCCTCCCCTCCATCAACAATAACAATAATGTATAGTTTAAGGTTATCAGATACAATGAATACATGAAGTTCATGTATTTTGAACTGCGGTAGTAGATACGTATGATGCACAATCCTCGCAGTAGAGAGCGCTATTTATGCAAGAGCGAAAATCAGACCTGAAAAAAATCAGGCCTGTACGGGATTCGAACCACTGACCTCTGCGATACTAGTGCAGCGCTCTACCAATTGAGCTAACAAGCCAACTGGGAGCAGGCCGTTAAGTTGATTCGTAATCAACCCGTGATGATAAATCAGATACAATGAATACATGAAGTTCATATATTTTGAACTGCGGTAGTAGATACGTATGATGCACGATCCTCGCAGCAAAGAGCGCTGTTCATGCAAAAGCGAAATTCAGACCTGAAAAAAATCAGGCTTGTACGGGATTCGAACCACTGACCTCTGCTATAGTAGTGCAGCGCTCTACCAATTGAGCTAACAAGCCAACTGGGAGCAGGCCGTTAAGTTGATTCGTAATAAACCCGTGATGATAAATCAGATACAATGAATATATGAAGTTCATATATTTTGAACTGCGGTATTAGATACGTATGATGCACGATCCTCGCAGTAGAGAGCGCTATTTATGCAATAGCGAAAATCAGACCTGAAAAAAATCAGGCCTGTACGGGATTCGAACCACTGACCTCTGCGATACTAGTGCAGCGCTCTACCAATTGAGCTAACAAGCCAACTGGGAGCAGGCCGTTAAGTTGATTCGTAATAAACCCGTGATGATAAATCAGATACAATGAATATATGAAGTTCATATATTTTGAACTGCGGTATTAGATACGTATGATGCACGATCCTCGCAGTAGAGAGCGCTATTTATGCAATAGCGAAAATCAGACCTGAAAAAAATCAGGCCTGTACGGGATTCGAACCACTGACCTCTGCGATACTAGTGCAGCGCTCTACCAATTGAGCTAACAAGCCAACTGGGAGCAGGCCGTTAAGTTGATTCGTAATAAACCCGTGATGATAAATCAGATACAATGAATATATGAAGTTCATATATTTTGAACTGCGGTT